GCTGTGTCTCTCTCTCAAAAATAAATAAAATCTTTAAAAAAATAAAAAATAAAAATAAAATTTTTATTATCTATTGCATCTATATATTCCTTTCCATCTCTACTTCACTGAGGACCCATATTCATTCACTCAAAAAATACTGAAAACCTACTATGTGCCAGACAGTGTCCTAGGATCTGAAGTTACAGCCCTGAAAGAAACAATGACCCTGCTCTCATAGAACATATAGTCCACTCACCTGGATCAGAGAGTAACCTTTTAGCTGATCGCTGCCTCCAGCTTTGCTCTTGCCTTCCTCTATCATCCTCACACCTATATTTTTCTTCCATGACAACTCAATTAAAAAAAACAGACATGGGTGCCTGGGTGGCTCAGTTGGTTAAGTGACTGCCTTCAGCTCAAGTCATGATCCCGGAGCTCTGTGATCGAGTCCCGCATCGGGCTCCCTGCTCAGCGGGAGTCTGCTTCTCCCTCTGACCCTACTCCCTCTTGTGCTCTCTCTCACTCTCTCAAAAAAAAGAAAAACAGACAATAGACTCGAACAAACATTTCACAAAAGAGGATATCCAACTGGCCAACAGGCATACCATATGCCAACTGAAGTTATAGAATAACATTACATGGGGTGCCTGGGTGGCTCAGTCGGTTAAGCGTCAGTCTTTGGCTCATGGCATGATCCTGGGGTCCTGGGATAGAGCCCCCCTGCCCCCAATCAGGCTCCCTGCTTAGTGGAGAGCCTGCTTCTCCCTCTCCCTCTGCCCCTCCCCACGCTTGTGCGTGCTCATGCGCACACTCTCTCTCTCAAATAAATAAATAAAATCTTAAAAAAAAAAAAGAACAGCATTACACATGCGGGGAATTTAAACTAAAACGACAATGAGATACCACTCCATATATACCAGAAGGGCTAAATCTTTTTTAAAGATTTATTTTTTAGAGATTTACTCTCTCTAAAAATAAATGGAGGGGCACAGGGAGAGACAATCTCAAACCAACTCCATGCTGAGCATGGAGCTGACGTGGGACTTGATCTCATGACCCTGAGATCACAACCTGGGCTGAAACCAAGAGTAAGACCCCCAAACGACTGTGATACCCAGGTGCCCCAGGCTAAAAATGTTAAAACAACAATACCACAGAGGATATAAGCATGTGAAATTCTCATACAATGCTGATGGCAGCGTAAGTTGGCACATTTCACTTTGGAAAACTGGCAGTATCTACTTAGGCCAAACAAAAGTCTACCAATGACCCCAAAAATTCCACTCCTGGGTATTTATATGAGAGAGATGACTAATTATGTCCATCAAAAGACATATACAAGAAAGTTCATAGTGGCTTTATTCATAAAAAGCTCAAAACAAACTGGAAACAACCCAAATATCCAGCTATAGTAGAACAGATAAACTGTGATAAATTCACACAATGGAATACAATATAGCAATAATAAAAGATTGATTTGTTACATAAAATATGGCTGAATTTCACAGATATCAAAATGAACAAAGCCAGATACAAAATAGCACCTGTTGAAGGATTTAATTTATAGAGGAAGGGAAAAGAATACATTATGTATGACTTCATTTAAAAAGAAACAAAGTGTCTATGGTGCTAGAAGTCAGAATACCTGTTGGGAAAGGTGGGAGGCAGTGGGGAGGGTACTGTCTGGGAAAGAGAAGAAAGAATTCTTAGGTACTAGAAATGCTAGATATCTTAATCTAGGTAGTGTTCTGGTATATCACAGGTATATATATGTAAAAGGTCATCAAGATAGACTCCTTAAGATGTTTTTACTTTTTTTTTTTTTTTTTTAAGATTTTATTTGAGAGAGAGAAAGAGAGCCCAGAGGGAGAGTGAGAGGGAGAAGCAGACTCCCTGCTGAGCAGAGAGCCTGATGCGGGGCTCAATCCCAGGACCCTGAGATCATGACCTGAGCCGAAGGCAGATGCTTAACCGACTGAACCATACAGGCACCCCAAGACTTTACTCTTTACTGCATGTATATTACACCTCGATTTAAAAATCAAGTAACGCCAACAACAATTTCTTCAATGGTGCCTGAAGAGGATCAATCCCAAGTACCTGAACATGCCATAAAGATCTTTGGGATGTGGCCCCCACCCACCTCTCCAATCTTACTTTTCATTACCACCTCCCTCATATTTTATTCTCTACCAACAGAAGTATTAAGGTTTCCTTGCACTCAATATATTCTTTTTCACTCTAGGTCTTGTTTGGTTCCAGCACTCTCCTCAATCCAGAATGTTAAACTTCTACTCATCCTTTAAGTCCCACTTAGTTCAGAAAGCTCTTTCAAGAAGTCTTTTTTAGCCCAGCCTGTATTAGGTACTCCCCTGATGTCTCCAATATATTCTATCCTCTTTCTATATGAGAAAGTCCATATTGTTGTATGCTGTATGGTGTATAATATTTGCTCAATAATTGTTGAATGACTGAAAAAAATCACTACTCTGTCTGACTGTAACAAGTTTCATATTCTAAAGATAGTGTTGGGACAATTCACATAAAAGATAAAGCTGAACGGCAATGGGACTTAGGACAGCAGGATGTATCACCACACAAAGAGCTAAATTTTTTAATACTGGTACTTAATATTTAGAAGAAAGTATGCCTCCAAAATTAACCACATCTTTAAAAATATCTATAAGCTAGGAAAACTAAAACTGAAGTGGCAGATTAAAAAGATAAGAATAAAGAAGCTAATCTGAGGAACACCCGGGTGGCTCAGTTGGTTGAGCCTCTGCCTTTGGCTCAGGTCATGATCCCAGGATTCTGGGATCGAGTCCCACATTGGGCTCCTTGCTCTGTGGGGAGCCTGCTTCTCCCTCTGCCTGCCGTTCCCTCTGCTTGTGCACATGTGTGTTCTCCCCCTCTCTCTGACAAATAAATAAAATCTTAAAACAAAAAAGAAGCTAATCTGAAAATACTACATATTGTATGATTCCAATTATAGAATATTTTATTCCAGAGCACATAGGTGGCTGAATTGTTTAAGTGTCTGATTCTTGATCTCAGGTCAGGTCTTGATCTTGGGGTAGCGAATTCAAGCCCTATGGTGGGCTCCACATTGGGCATGGAGCCTACCTAAAAATTTTTTTAATTATATTCCAAATAAACACATGAAAAGATACTCCACATCATAAGTCACCAGGAAAATGCAAATTAAACAACGTGATACCACTACACACTCATTAGAATGGCCAAAATCTGGAACACAGACAACACCAAATGGTGACAAAGATGTGGAACAATAGGACCTCTCATTCATTGTTGGTAGGAATGCAAAATGAGACAGCCATTTTGGAAAACAGTTTGATGGTTTCTTACAAACTAAACATACTCTTACAATACAATCAAGCAGTCACTCTCCTTGCTATTTACCCAGAGGAGCTGAACACTTATGACTACACAAAAACCTGTAAACCGATGTTTAGAGCAGCTTTATTCATAACTGCCAAAACTTGGAAGCAACCAACCAAGATGTCCTTCGGTATACATAAACTGTGGTATATCCAGACAACGGAATATTATTCAGCGTTAAGCTATGAAAAATCATGGACGAAAATTAAATGCATTGCTAAAAGAAAGAAGCTATCTGAAAAGGCTACCTACTGTATGATTCCAACTACAGGACACTATGGAAAAAGCAAAACTAGGGAGACAATAAAAAGATCACTTGTTGCTAGGAGTTGGGAGTGAGGAAAGATGAATAGGCAGAACACAGGATTTTTTGGGTAATGAAAATACTCTGTATGATACTATAATTGTGAATACTTGTCATTATACATTTGTCCAAACCCACAGAATGTACCACGCGAAGACTGACCATTACGTAAACTATGGACTTTAAGTGTCTATGTTGATTCATTTTTTTTTTTTTTTTTTTTGTAAATGTACCACTCTGGTGGTGGATGCTGATAATGGAGGAGACTGCATGTGTGGGAGCAGGGAATATATGGGCAAGCTCAGTACCTTCTTCTCAATTTTGCTGTGAATCTAAAACTGCTCTAAAAAGTCTTTTAAAAACAAAAAAGAATTTAAAAAAATCAAGAACTGAACCCCAAATCTTTCCCAAATATGGAGAATCAATTGACAGGATTTTACTCCCTACTTCCTTCGCCTCCACCCCCCTCACCATTTTGTCATTATGCACCTAAGCTGTTGAGTTTTATCTTGACACTGAGTACAATGAATTAACTAATGCATGTCAATCTTTAGGAAACTAGGTACTACTACTTCAATATTCAATGATGCTTTCATAAGAATATTATCTATTCTGGCCTTTGTGATATTCTAAGTTGCTCTTAAATGCATTTAGAGATCTATCCTAAGGATTTTTTTATTTCACAAAACCATCTTTTTTTATAGCAGTAGAAAGAAAATAAATTGGTCTTCTGGGGTCCTATGAACAGATTTTCATCAATTGCATACCTACAGACCTATAATAATAAAATCACATTTCTGAAAAAATTGACTCAGATAATGAGTCAATCCACAGAACCTATAACTCAATTTTTCTAAATATATGGAGAACCTTACATTTATTTTTTAAGTCTCTGATAAATTTAAAGAAAAGCTAAATTCAAGGAAAGAATGTTTAATAAAAACAGTTCAAAAACTTCTTTCAATGGGGTAATTAATGTAAAATTTGACATATAAAACATGGGTTTTAAAAGAGTAATTATAGGGTACCTGGGTGGCTCAGTCGTTAAACGTCTGCCTTCAGCTCGGGTCATGATCCCAGGGTCCTAGGATCGAGTCCCACATCGGGCTCCCTGCTCAGCAGGA